TTTTTTTTTTTTTTTTTTTTTTTTAAATTAATTAATTATATATATATATATATATATATATATAGTATTTTAGGACTAGTCGAAATGATTTTTTTAAAAAAAATAAATTAGATCAATTTCAATTTTTAGGATATGTATATAAAAAATGATTAAAATATCCTTTCAACCCCATCTCTTACGACCCCCTCCCTTGCCCATGTCCGAAAACTACTGCCATTGCTAGCGACCTTTGAACTGGTTGAAGATAATCGAATGATCTTAATGTTTTAATTACAAATTTAAATTTATTTAAATTTATAAATTTTTAGTGTTCAATAATTATCTTTATAATATTTTGATAATGATATTTTAAATAAAGTATTAGAAGTTTCTATCTAAAACTAATCAGTTATCTTTTTAAAAAATTTAAATATATTTTTAAAATTTTTAAAAGTGGAGAGATATTGAAATAAATACGTCATTTTTATTAGTTTATTCTAAAAAAAATCTCCCCTCTAAATTTATTTTAAAAAATTCGGATTATTTTTAGCTAACCTTTATAATGGAGTTATTATTATTATTATTTTGCCCCGAAACTGTTAATATATAAATATTAAATTAATAAATTTAATAATATAGCATTAATTTTTTTCTTTACAAATTATTGTATAGAATTTGTAAACAAATTTGGAAGACTATGTTTAGTATTAAAAATTAAATTTTTAGACCATTATATATACGAGAAATATATTGATTTATTAGATTTTTTTTATAATATTTTAATTCATATTATATTAAAAAGTGAAAACTTTACGATAACTATTTTTTAAAAAATAATAATAAATAAAAAAATTATTGACGAAAAATTCGATCCCAACAAAAATAAATGACAAATATTGTAGAGACGAAGACGAAGAAAGCTTATTGTAAATATTTAAGTTTGTGACGTACGTGTTGTTGTCCTTCATGTTTCATATGTCAACGAGCCTACATCAATCTAGAATTTTAGAAAGTCGAGCCATTACCAATAGTATTGAAAAATATTAGTGATTTAATATTTTGTAAATGAAATAAAAAGCTCGAGATAAATTTTAAAATATTTTATAGATATAAATAAATAAAGGATAAAAATAAAACATTTATAATATTTTTATAGTCGGCCATGCAATCGAGGTTTGACTCTTCCGTTGAACACTGCAGAAGTACGGTTTCTCCACAGCCGCCAGCTTGGACTTAACATTAAATTAATAATAATAATTAAAAAAATACAATTAATATTTTTTTTTCATTTACAAAATAATAATAATAATAATAATAATTATTATTATCTAATTT